GAGCCCCCCCCCCCCCTGCTCTGCTCTTATCCACAAAGCCCCCCTAAAGCTACAGAGGCAGGGTTTAAATGTCACGCTGGCCCATCAGAGCCCCCCCAGCCCCCGGCTCGTGTCTCCTCGAGGGGGGGGGGGGTCAGGGGAGAGAGAGAGTGGAAGGGGAGGGAGACACTTGCCCCTTGCACCCATTGTCCACTACGATAGGCATGAGCTGCTAACTGACTCCCGATGGAGTGTGTCCCCTCGCCACGCGCCCCGGCCTTGTCCCGCTCGTGCCCAAACACAAAAGGGCCCCTGTGTTCCGTGTTTTGTTTCTTCCAGGCCGATCCGGGGGTTGAATAGCAGCTTTGGTCACGGGCGCGTCCCGCGGAGCAGCTTAACGGGGGGGGCAAGCGGCGGACGCCCCGTCCCGAAAAGGCGCTCGACGGAGTCGTCCGCATTGCACTCCGGTGAGCCCTTACGGGACGAAAATCAATGGTCACATGAGAGCGAGTTGAAAGCGTTAAAGCGGGTCGGAAAGGAGTGGAGGGAGAAGGGTGGTGGAGGAGGGGGCCGGGGGGGGGTGACAAAGTGTCCCGCTGAAATACAAGTACAGGACGAAAAATACGAGCTGCCCGGCCAACTTTTATCCCGGCCCAAGGTCCCGGCCCGTACTTAACCGGCCCGCCAGATTGAGTGCTTTATGTATCTATTTGTTCTAAATAGTGGCTCGCTTGACCTTGAGCCAAGATGTGTTTGCGCCCGCGGGCCGGGCCCCGGGAATCGTCCCGCCTGTCAGGAGGAGGAAGGGAGTGACCTTGAACCGCCAAAGGCGCAGCGTCGCTGAGTGCACAAACTCATTTAACTCCCGGGTCCGCTATCGACATGCTGTAATCGTTAACATTATGGACGATGAATAACTTCCGACTGTGGTACACCTGCACGACGCGTCCCCGTGCCAGGCCGACTGTGTGGGCGGGGGGGCGGGGGGGGCGCTGATGGTCAGGTGACTGCAGGGCCACTTGTTTTTCCAGGCCAATCACAGCAGCGACTCATCAAGAGGGGCCCGGCGCAGAGCGGGGCGAGGTGCTTAAGGACATTGATCACTTCAGCGCGTTACACACTTTTCCCTCGCACGCACACCTCCATGTGAACACTTAACCCCCAGCATCAGCTGCTCACGCATCTGCAGTGTGTGTGTGTGTTTTCTTTGTCTGTATTGATTGTGGTAAAACGGGTGAATTTACTGTAGTTTGTGCAAAGACAAAGATGTGATTACGGTCGACACTGCCAGGAGGCTGGAGGCGTGAATGTTTAGGGTTTTAAAACCAAGAGTG